GGGGATGGGGCTTGGGGCTGAGAAGAACAGCAATAGTCTGCTTCTGTCACACCTTGGAACTTGCCATGGGATGGTGTCTCTGTGGCAGAGCCCAAGTTTTGGAGTGTAGCTTCTGTCTTGGACAAGTCATTCATCTCACTTAGCCTCAGTTTTTCATCTACAAAATGGATATGGTAAAGCTGGCTTTTCAGGGTTAAGTGAGATAATGCAAGCTAAGTGCCTGGCATGTAGTAGGTGCTGGACAAATCCAGCCCAAGCCTCTGCTTGCTTGACCTTGTGTACCGACCCTACAGGTTGCTGATTCTTGGCTTGGTGACCTACCTGTTAAGACAGCAATAGGGTAGGGAAGGGTATTGCTGTGATCCCACTTGAGTTTGCTCTTGTTCATGATGTTGACCAAGAGGCATCTGGGGATCCCAGTAACCAAACTCACCTAAATTCAGACCCAACAGAAAAAAAACGACTTCTGAATTTATAACCTCCCTCTTACCACACTGTCAGTATTATAAGCATTTGCTCCTGGGTATGTAGGTAGCAGAAGCAGTTCCTTTTATAGAGAGGGAAATTGAAGGACAGAGAAAGTGATGTCCTGTCCAGGCTCACTTGACACTTCCTTCAGGAAGTTTAGAGTAGGATGAAAGCACTTTCCTGCTGGGCTTCTCCAGACTGATTTTTTTTCTAGTCCTACCTTCTTTTGTTCATTTCAGCTGGGAGGCAGTTGAGTTAAAACTCTAGCTCACTGTTTTGAACTTCAGCCCACACCCCTCCAGCAAAATAATCAGCATTCATGTAGCCCAAGCCAAGGAAAGAGACGTCTTTGTTCAAATTGTCCCACTGTACTTTGGGAATCCAGAAACCTGGCAAACAGGCTTTTAAGTTAATAGATTTTATTTAATGACACCAAGAGTCAGCCTTCCCATAGCGTGTGCAGGTGTTTTGGTCTCCTCTCTTGGGAATCTGTGTGACTCATGTGCCTGAGGGCCTGCTGTTAACTGAACCACCTTTCACAGCTGTTCAGCTCAGGGGCACAGGCTCTTCTCTGGGGGAGAGGACGGATCTTGAGTGAAACCTGTCAGGGGTATACCTCAGTCTGAGGAGCTGAGGAAAGTCAATCTCTGCCCCCACCAGACTCTTAAGTGGGGAACATGCCTCTAAGATGATTCTTTCAGTATTGTCTCACTTCAGGAGGCTATACACATCACACCATTGTTCAAAACAGTGTGATAAACGACCTCCAGAACTTTCCATCTGAGCCAGCTTTTCAGCCAAGTAAGAAAATTGTTTTTGAGACGTTTTTCTTTTTTTAGGTGGGGGGGGCAAGAGGAGGGGCAGATGGAGAGAAGAGAGAGAGAGAGATTTTTAAGCAGGCTCCATGCCCAGTGCAGAGCCTGACATGGGGCTCGATCTCCGGACCCTGAGATCATGACCTGAGCTGAAATCAAGAGTAGGACACTTAACCGACTGAGCCACCCAGACACCCTGAAACTTTTTTTTTAAAGATTTATTTATTTATTTATTTGAGAGAACGAGAATGAGAGAGAGAGAGAGAGAGAGAGCACATGAGAGGGGGGAGGGGCAGAGGGAGAAGCAGACTCCCCGCTGAGCAGGGAGCCCGATGCGGGACTCGATCCCGGGAACTCCAGGATCATGACCTGAGCCAAAGGCAGTCGCTTAACCGACTGAGCCACCCAGGCATCCCCCACCCTGAAACTTTTTTATATCCTTAGTTTTGGGGTACCAAATGGTGTCCCAAGCGTGACCACCACCTGTTGTTGTTGTTGTCATTGTTGTTGTTTTAAACTCGTTGTAATTCCAGATAACTAGTTATTTCCCAAAGTCATATTTACCCTTGGGAGACCTAAGAGATCATTACCCTTATTGAGGAGATTCAGAGGAACATCCTCTGAAGGCAGATCTTGTCACTCGGCTGAGTGGGTAGCTGTGTGCACTTTGTTCTTTCAAAGAGCCAGGTCGGGGACTGCCAGGTAGAGGTTGAAACTGTTGCTTGAGTTGGGAGCTGTCCCTGCCCCTGGAGAGCCCTAATGAAGACATTCACTGTTTATAGAGACAACACGGTCTCTTCTCTGGGGCAGATATAATTTGGGCTGTAGTCATATCACCTGATAAGCCAGCTGTCTCTGGGTGTGGCTGAGCAGAGGTCTCTGAGGAATGAAGAATGGAATTGTCTTCATGTTTTTCTTTCTCCTCCTCTTGTACTCTGCCACCCACACCCCCCATGCCCCCACAACCACTGTGTTCCACTGCCCCTCACTGATGTTCAGTGTTGGGACCACAACCAGTTCTTCTCCAGATGAAATCTTTTCATAATTGGCTCCCTAGGTGGTGGCTGTACCATCTTTCCTCACCCATCCAAGGCTGTAGGACAGTACTGTTGTCTGGAGGAGGTCCCTGGCCAGCCAGCATCCCCGAATGGGGTGGGGACATGGGGCTAGAAAGCAGGAGGTGATTAAAGTCAGAGCTCCAAATTGTAAGATACAGAAGGGGTGCAAGTGGCCATCTATCCTGGATCTTCTGGGCCAGTCACACATCCAAATAGCCTTTTCTTTGTCCCACAGAGGAGAAACAGCATATCAAGTTGATGGAATGTGATGTGGTCATTTAAAGTGATGTGGATGTGGGGCGTCTGGCTGGCTCAGTTGGTGGAGCATGTGACTTGATCACAGGGTTGTGAGTTCAAGCCTCATGTTGGGCATAGAGCTTACTTAAAGAGGAATAAAAAGAAAGAAAGAAAGAAAATGATGTGACTGTGTTTAAAATAATGGAGAAAATGTTTAACTTACAATAAGCTTTAAAAAATCATAATGCAGAATCATAAACACAGTATGGTAACAGTTATATAAAAACAAAAAAAAGCACTCTTTCCCCCCCACCACCCCCAAAGCCAGACATATAAAAAAGAATGGAAGTATATATACCAAGTGTTAAGAATGGTTTTCCTTTGGGTGGCAAGACTGTGATAATTTTTTTTCTTTCCTTTTAGCTTTTTAAAAAATATTTCCCGAATATTCTGTAATAATTCTCTGTCCGTGTCTTAAATGGGAGCAAAGTAAACTTGATAAATCCCAAAGAAACCTATTTTATTGTCAGACTTTGTGTCCTGAATGTTGGTGTAGAGCTATAGCTGCCGTAACTGAGAACTCATCTTTGTTTCAACCTCTGGAAATCTGAACGTCAGGCAAGCCTAGGTTCCAGACAGACGTTTTGGGCATAGTTCTGCCTGGAGGCAGGGGCTGGACAAGGCAGCCTCTCAGGGCCCCTCTCACCCCCCGGCTGGCGATTCTCTCTCTGCCACATGCAGCCTCTGCCAGCAGTGAGCGGGCTGAGCATGGTGACATTCTCTGAGTGGGGAGCAGTAACAGAAGTCTGGCTGGGATGGAGACCGGGGGCGGGGAATCTGGAGTGAGTGCCTGAGCTGATAAGGAGCCAGTGATCTTTCTGCCTGGTGGGACTTGCACCTCCAGCTGCCAAGCACCCGGTAGAGCTCAGCGCCCTGGAAAGCTGGTCCCACTGCAGTGGTCCCGCCGTTGGCACAGCTCTGAGAGCACGGTGGTCACAGCTTCTTCTGCGAAGAAGTGATGGTGCAGGGTGTCGGCGCTCTGTCTTGGGGCACAGGAAGGATCCCTTATCCTTTGAGTGGTAGTGGTTTTGAAGGAAGCGGCCTATCTCCAAGGTGGAAACTAGGATTTTCCCTCATGGCACCTCTGTAAAAGGGAGCCTGGCGAACGGACACCCAGAGTGCTGCTTCCTCGCTCTGTCTTGCCTGCATCCTCCATCTCTTCAGGCTCCTGGCCCAGGCCTCCAAATCCGATTTTCTCCATTCAGGCAGAGCGCCTCAGTGTACTGCAGCTGCCTGCGTCGTGTTGCCCGTCAGAGAACCCAGGCACAGAACAAGGAGACTCACACATTGAGGAAGGCTTACTGATCCTGGAGTTAGTAGAGTCTGGGAATCAGGCATCAAGCTGTTGGAGGATAGGCACTGAATTTGTTGGAGGCACTTGCCGCCACCCAGGCTTGAAAAGACTGGTGAATGCTGGGGCTGTGTGGAGGCAGGTGAGAAGGGTTCTCGTAGTGTCTCTTGAGTGTCATACTGATATGTTCCCAGAGTTCTGGCTCTCCCAGGGCAGACGGACCTTCTTGATGGGAAGCATGGTGTCTCTGGGTGCTGTTGGGGACACACAGAGGGGATCTCCACTGGGGGCCCAGGCATGTTTCATTGCTTCCTGCTCCCAGGCATGGCACAAGGGGTTAATATCTCTGATGGTTCTATTTTGGGGCAAAGGAGTGTTCCTAGAATAGGAGTCTTTGTTGAGTAATCTATTTTGGGAGGCAAGCCCCACTGGCGTTTATATAAGCAATTCTCTGTGTGTATCTGGGGGTGTGGATGTGTGCACAAGTGATTTCTTATTACTAATTATAAGCAGCTTCTTTTGGGAGCCAGAGAAATGGAGGGGTGTGTGTGTGTGTATATGTGTGTGTGTGTGTGTGTGTGTGTGTGTGTAAGGAGTATGGGTTGCTCTCCTGTGAGGAGTGGCACAACTGTGCGTGCCCATCTGATTGGGAGCCAGAGAAATGGAGGGGTCTGTGTGTGTTTGTGTGTGTGTGTGTGTGTGTGTGTGTGTGTGTAAGGAGTATGGGTTGCTCTCCTGTGAAGAGTGGCACAACTGTGTGTGCCCATCTGATTGGGCAGTTGCCACAGACACCCGAGTAAAAGAGTATATGTGGGAACCTTAGGATAGCAGGCAGGAATGCCGGCCTTGGCCCCTTTGTGCGGTGTCAGCGGCAAAGGTGTGAGCATCTATGGTCGTCTTGATTCCCTGAAGCACATGGACATTAAGGTCTTCTAGCTACAGTCTGGGGTCAGGTGGTCTCCGGAACATCAGTCATGGCACATCAACCAGCTCTAGTCTGCAACACATCTCAGATTCCACTTCCACTGCAGCCCAGGCTTACTTACTGGACTCTCCTATGTCTTCCCACAGGCCACATCCACATATGTCGAAGCAAGAGAGAAACCAAAGACCATCCAGCATGGTCAGTGAGACGTCCACAGCTGGAACCACGTCCACTGTGGAGGCCAAGCCTGGCCCCAAGGTGAGCTCCTGGCCACTCACTCCTTCCTTCCACCCTTTAATATTTTGCAGATGCCCAACGACCCCCACCATTGTTTTGTGAGGGAGGCTTCTCCTGAGACCAGTTGGGGTGATGTCACTTGTCCAGGAAAACAGGTGATTGCTGGCAGAACTGGGACTGACATCCAAGTCCTTAGATGCCTTCATCATTTTCCTGGCTTGTCTTGGGAGGGTCACACCTCTGTTCACAGGTGTGTTATGAAACTGCCTTGTGAAATTTGTGGCCAGTGGGCCTGAGGAAAGTTGAGAGGTGGGACCCTTGACTGAGGAGCAGGGAAAGAACCAGCATTGCAGAGAAGGGGTGAGTGCTGAGGAATGAACCCAGATAGGACGATAATATCTGGAAATTGGCAAAATCTGTGACCGAAAAGTAGCTTTGATCCAGAAAGAGTAGCACATATGAGGGCCAACAGCTGCTGGTGAAAGTTGATTGAAAAATCCCTTTAAGTTTTTTTTTTCCTCCATGACTCAGATGGGGAGCTTGCTAGGCCTTGGATTTGCTTTTTAATTAAAATACTATGGCCACGTGCCCGCCTGTTTTGGTTTCCTTGCTATTCTTTCTATCAAAGGGCACTGCCACTTAGAGTAAGGTAGAGGAGCCTGCAGCTCTCCTCTCACGCAGGTGCTTTGTGTGACTCCCTAAATCCCCTAAATGCTGCTAGAATTTGAGTCTGCTTTTTCCTAGATCACGAAATCCAGCAGTAAAGTCCACAGCTTTGGGAAGAGGGACCAGGCCATTCGGAGGAACCCCAATGTTCCAGTGGTGGTGAGGGGGTGGCTGCACAAGCAGGTGAGGAGACGGGGAGGGGAGGGGGATGGCTCTTGCTGATCTCCTTCCTTACCCTGGCCCCTAGGAGCTGAGAACAGACTCATAATAAGCTCTCTGTTCCTGCGTTTGTCTGAGGCAGGTATGCTGTCCATTTTTATGAGTGGACCATCTGCTCAATGGCTACAGCTTCCCTCTCCAAACCCACTTGACCCCTTGGGCCCCCAGTGCTATTGGCTGCCCTGGGACCCAGGCACTCCATGTGGGTGGGTCAGCATAAATCCAGCCTTACCGCCAAGCCCTGGCCAGCACTTGCCCTCTTGATGTTAAAGAGCCTTTGCTATCATTTGGCTGAAAAATCCCATCTTTTCCTGTCCTCTGCCCAGCCTGGTCTAGCACACATATCTAGCTCCCCTTGCACCTCAGATTCCGAATCAGCCAAACTCAGCTCATTGCCTCCTCACCCCTTACCTCTCTTTTCTCCCCAACTTATTTTTTTCTGGACCTTGGTGATGATACCACCATTCTCCTAGGCACCCTGGTTAGAAACAGCTCTTTCTTCTCCCACATCCCTTCACTCAGGAAGCCCTGTCGGCTCCCCCGAGGCTATCCTGCATCTCTGAACTCACCACTAATTGTTCTGTCTCTTGTCCTCTGGCCACAAATAGGCTGTGCGCTCCCAGGGCCAGAGAACATGTCCCTTTTGTCTCCCTCCTTCTCTCCTTGCCATCCATCCATCTGTTCTTCTGTCTGCCCATTTGTTTACCAAGTGCCTGTCAGGTTCTTTTTTTTTTTTCCTCAAAAATTTATTTATTTTAGGGGCGCCTGGGTGGCTCAGTCGTTAAACGTCTGCCTTCGGCTCAGGTCATGATCCCAGGGTCCTGGGATCGAGCCCCACATTGGGCTGCCTGCTCCGTGGGAAGCCTGCTTCTCCCTCTCCCACTCCCCCTGCTTGTGTTCCCTCTCTCACTGTATGTCTGTCAAATAAATAAATAAAATCTTAAAAAAAATTTATTTTAGAGAGAGGAGAGAGGGAGGGAAAGAGAGTGCGTGTGCATGAAGGGGGGAGGGGCAGGGGGAGAGAGAGAGAAGATCTTGGCAGACTCTGCACTGAACACAGAACCCAACCTGGGCCTCGATCCCACAACCCGGAGATCATGACCTGAGCTGAAACCAAGAGTCGGATGCTTAACTGACTGAACCACCCAGGCGTCCCTGCCTGCCATATTCTAAGTGCTTTCACAGCGCAGTTAAAGAGGTGAAGAACACGTGGTTCCCACAGTTGAGGAACTCAGTCTGCTGGGGAAACTGGCCCCTCTCACATGTCCTATCATCGCCCTCACAGTCTCTCACATATCATACCATCCAAAAAAACCCCACAAACTCCAAGAGCTGTGATGTTAATTTTTACCAAACACTTTGTGGGAAGACAGAGGAGGGCATTACATTGCACACCACACAGAAGTCCCTAGAAGTCCCCTTGAAGTCTCTCTCCCCTCAGACTCCCCATGGCAGCTTCTGTAGCTCTCTGGCCTTCTCTGTCAGACACTGTGGGTGCCTCTCTCGGTGATACCCTCTTCCCTCACAGCTCTCTCTTTCCTTGCCTCTCTGGCCATCTCTTTTACCCGAATAACCTTCTGACTTTTCCATTTGCATCCCTGTCCCCATTAAACAAAAGTATGCTCCTTTGATATGTGGAGGGAGAGGGAAGGGACTCTAAGTAATTCTTCTCCCCAGCCCCCACCGCCCAGCCTGGTAACTCTAAGAGGCCTGTGTGGAGTGCTGTGGGCACAGCACAGAGAATGTAGCTGTGCTTGGGGGAGTCCTGAAAGGCTTCCCAGAGGAAGTGACATTTGCAGTAGGTGTGGAGGATGGAAGGGAGTTTTCCAAACAAAGCAATATGCTAAGATTTTAGAGATCATCTGGTCAGAGCAGAAGATAAAACCAAGAAATGCATGAACTCAGCAAGTCAGATTTGTTTTTAGCACTTTAGTAAGTGGAGAATGAACGAACTTCATGTTGTGCTTAGGTTTAGTGACTGACATAACTGTTATTTTTTAAATTTAAACTTGTCGAAAACTTTTGCAGAAGGAAAACAGTTTTAACAGCTAAAAGCAGCTCTGGAGTTTTCCTGGGTTTGGCAGAAAAATGACCCTATAGCCCTACTATTTTCCTATCCTGGCCTTGTTCTTTTAGAATTTTCACAATCACCTAAAATGTTTTTAATAAATGTATTGATTTACATTTTAGATGCGTAAAGACAAATTCATATTATGAGGCAATTTGACAGCAAGACAATCCAAGTCTCTTTACGTTGAATGGAAGGAAAATCCATGGCAAAATTAGCCCCTTATGATAGAGAACTGAACTTGTCAAATGAGAACTTTGCCTCATCGATTTAAATTCCTTGTTCTGTACTGTGTAAATCAATTTTCTCATCAGTAAGTGGAGATTATTTTATAGAATAGTACCTAAATAAATAAATAGCTTCCTTTTTGTTAAAAACTGATTTCTTTCTTAATGGAAGAACTGTATCTTTTGAATTCACATCTTCCTTTCTAAAAGGATACTTACATTAGTCTGTTTCCAGGACACACATAAAACTTCCTGGGGACAAACCATAATTGAATCTAAATTTTAATGTCCTATTAAAAAATGACCTTGCAATAAAAATTTATTAATTCATTAATTTATTGAAAGGACGAGTGGATATAGGTAAGTCTTTGTTCTAGCATCGTGCCATGCGTGATTGGAGAGGGGGAAGAGTATGCTCAGGTATTGTCTGATTAGTTTTCTTTGCTTTGCAGGACAGTTCTGGGATGAGACTGTGGAAAAGGAGGTGGTTTGTGCTTGCTGATTATTGCTTGTTTTACTATAAAGGTGAGCTAAGGCTCAGGCCACCAAGGGCTCTTTGTGCTGGAGAGGGTGGTGAGGTGATACAGGTGGTTATATTCTCAAATCCATTGATTGGACCAGTGGCCTGAGCTAATTTATAACCTATTTATGTGCCACAGTGTTCACTTTTACATATGTGAATGGCTGGTGACTTACTTTTACCAATCCTTGCATTCGAAGTGCCATTTGTTGAGTTAAAATAAATAGAATCCAGTTTATCTGCTACTTAGGCTCTCCAAGTCTGGAGTTGTCTCAGCTTCTACCCAGTTTGGAACAAAGGCATACCTTTGACACTATCTGAAGAGGTAGGAAGTATAGATAAATCATTGTATTTTGTAACTTGTTGTCTGGATCTATCCTCTATAATACTGGATGGACAATTGGTGAATTGAGTTGGGCACATGTACATTTACGGAGCCCCAGTACATAGAGTTAGGGGCTGTGCAATAGTGAGAAAGAAGTAACACTCAAAATATGGAGGAAGAGAGAGTTTACTCGTAAGACAAGACTAGGCAGCATTAGGTGCTTTAGAAGACATTCAACGTGCTTAAGCAATTCATGGGGAGCAAGAAATTAATTCCATATTGAAGAATTGGGGGAGGCTTTTCAGAATAAGTGGGATTTGAGTTGGGCTTGTAAAGATAGGTAGAGCTTTGCCTGTGTATGGGGGCAAATGGGCATTTCAAGCAGAGGAAACAACTTGAATAAAGTTCTAGAAGCAGAAGAAAATGGAATGACGGACCTGTGAGGCCAGAGTGAGTCTTGCTTGCAGGACATAGTAGGAAAGAAGGCTCAGGAGGTGGGTAAAGGCCAAAATGCAAGAGGACTGTGACACCAGGCAGAGTAAGTTGAACTGCATTTTGCATCTAGTGGGCAGTCAGCAAGTACCTTTGAGTAGGAGAGCGACAGGACCAATGCTGTCATTAGGAAGTTACCTCTGTCATGAAGATGGTTTGGAGGAGGAAGAGAATAGGTGTAGAAGGTAGGATATTTTGCACATGCTCTAACTTTGCCTATGAGGTTTGCTCTTCCCAGAATGCCCTTCCCCATCCTCTAAAACACTTTAGATACCACCTTCTGAAGCCTTCTCTGCTTTCCCCGACTTTGTGCCACTCCACAGAACTTGGCTTACTGCCCTGTTTCAGGAGTTCACAGGTTGCACTGAGCATGTTTCCATGCCTGTCTCTGCCCCTGACTCACCTGTCATTCCTGCGTTAACCCAAAGGTCCCCAGGGAGCACCTGAATGGACGATCAGGGATTACAGTAGTCCTAGGGAGCTATAAGGAGCCCTGAACAGCGGCAGTGGGATGGACCAACCCAGGGAGGGTGCCACAGAAGGTTATTCTGATGTGTTTTTTCCATTCAAAGACAGCCGAGAAGAAGCGGTCCTTGGGAGCATCCCTCTGCCCAGCTATGTGATCTCACCCGTGGCCCCTGAGGACCGCATAAGTCGCAAGTATTCCTTTAAGGTACTGCCCCCTCCCCTCCAGGGCTGCATTTCTACCCTAAGAAACTTTGTGTTCCCAAAAATGTCTTCATAAAAGCAGTTTTGTTTTTTTTTTTGTGGGGAGTGGGGAGAAGTAAAGAAGCTAGAGCATTTCGGGTGCATGTTAACAATGTTGTAAATTCTTTAAATAAGAATAATAACCACATCAAAAGTACTTTCATTTGTTTCTGAGCTTCTGAGTCTCCCAGCTTTGCTCAAATATTCAGACCCCTCTTTCCTATTGGTACCAGTCCTGTGATTACTCGTCCCCTTCATGCCTTTTTATCACTGTAATCAGCCAGTCTAGTGTCCAGCCACTTGCTGCAGGTGATAGTCGCTCGTCATGGATTTATAGCAATTTTATTATGAAAACTTACATTGAGGGTTAGAAGCTCATGTTGAAGAGATTTTCAAATTTATCTGCTTTGTTTATCTTGTTGAAGAGCAAATAGTATCAAATTTGATTTGTGTTCTGGATCACTAAAGATTCTCAGGGAAATCCCTTCAATAGTAAAACCCCTTTTCTACTTTCTACTTTTCTGCTTGGTCACATGTTAAGTGAGTGCGGCCATGATAATTGATGGCAGTCCTTTGATGCCCTCTGGCATCTTCAGAACTGGGCGTGGAGGCTCCAGGAAGGTGGTGGTCAGGCCGAAACTTGGGGAATCCTGAGGCCATCTCGTTTGGTGACCTCCACACATTCCTTCACTGCTGCTGTTTCTTGGGTCCCCTAGAGATGGTAAAGATAGGGTGGGTTGAAGTTCTACTTTACCGGCAGCTGAGTGGAAGTCTCAGCACTGAAGTAAGTGGCCTTTGGTGCTGGTAGCCACAGGGAAACACCCTCTCACACTGCTCAGGATACAAGGCAATGACGTGCATTTCAAGTGGGGTAGGGGCTCCTGCCCCCACTACTCATGTAGCTTAGCTATTCCCATGTTGAGGGTGTAAGATGAATACTGGACATTAGGTACTAAAGCAGAGATTGAACGGAAGTCAAGTTTGCCAGCCATAGATAGTTAAAAGGATCATGGAAAAGCACAAGAGAAGACACCCAGCGCTCTGTGGGTTAAAGAGAGTGTTGGTATGTGGTATCCATGGTGTCTGCATCATTGTTTTGATCTGGAGTCCATTGTGGAGGTGGTGGTGGCTGGAAGGTCAGTCTCATCTTCTACCTTTCCTTCCTGGACTGGTGCTTTAGCTTTGTTCATTGCCAGGTTTGAGCTGTCCCTCTCTTTCCCTTGGTCGTCACCATCCCCAATGACTGCAGAGTTACTAGGTTGAAGATTCTGGGATCCTTCCCTATTTCTTGTTGCATAACATAGTATTGCCTTATATTTGTAAAACCTTGTATGACCAGAGAAGTACTTCTATCCACGGGAGCTCATTTAAGGTCGTGGAGAGCCAGTGTTGTAAGGTCAGTGTTATTAGCGTTATTTTATAGATTAAGAACACGAGGATTAGAGTGCTTAAGAAACTTGTTCAAAGTCATAAAGCTGGAAGATGATGGTGACAGAACTTGAACATGAACTCAATCCTCTTACAATTGCGTTACAGGGAGGGAGGACAGTTCCTTTCTCTACTTTTCTTCCACATCTTATTTTGGTCATCTCCTGCACACACATTGCAGGAGGTGGGAAGTAATTTGAATGAATGTTCATTGTTATCATTTTAGGGATACTCTTCTATTGAACATTCAGAAGCCTTTCCTGCTGATTGACGGCTTTGAAAACATTGTGTTCAGTGGGTTTCAGGCTGGCCTTTTGCAGCCTAAAAGTCTTCCTCAGAAAACCTTCCTTTCTAGGGCTCAGTGTTGCTACTGGGCAGACAGTTGGGATAATGTTGTATGTAATTTTGGGGGACAGCATTTGAAATATGGTCAGAATAACTGATTGTAACTATATATATTTCATCTTAACACTTCACTGGGAGGTGTGAAAACAGATTTAGAAAAACATCTTTTATGTGTCGTAGATTCTTTTCTTTTTGAAAAAAATTTTTTTTCTTAGAAGGACTTCACCAAGACTGTTCCTTAGCTAAATTTTTGTCTGAGAGACAGAAGGTATACATGTGTTTGGGGGATCCCTTTGGGGGGATCCTCAGGGTCTGAGAACAGACCAAAGCTGCTGCAGGCAGGTCTAGTGGTGTTCAGGTGGTTCTCCACAGAGGGCTGTGGTTTCCTGAGTGTCAAAGAGTTCCCCTTCTCTTGGGTTGCAGCATTGTTCTTTTAAGGGCCAGGAAGTGGGACCCTTGGGCAGTTCAGGATCCATGTTCTTGGGCACACTGAGGAATGCACATTGTTTAGTGTCCTGGGCCTTACGCCTGCTTCTGATGTCAGCTCTTCATTATTTCCAGAACTGAAATTCTCTGACTGTTGTTAGGGCACCTTGCCTGAGGTTGTTGAGAGTATCTGTGGTGGTAGGTAGGCACAGCCTGAAAGGTTATATGGTCCTTTCCTTGTCTTTCTTTTTCAACTGTGCCCATAGCCTGGCAGCTCCTATGCATTACCAGCTGGTGCTAGATGGACTCTGAGATGCAGGCAGCTCTGTAGGAGAGCCAGGCGGGGCTCTTAGTGGCGTCTAGGAGACGCAATGCCCTGACCAGCAGGCCTTTCGTGCTCTGCTGGCTCATCTGGGTGCCTCCCCAAAGAGCTCCTATTGGATGCACAGCCACCCTTGGCCTGCTGGTCACCTCTCAGCAAGCTTGCCCCTCAGATCCAGAATCTGGAGCAAAGAACATCTCCATGCAGCAAAGGGTCCAAGGATCCTCAATGGGGAAAAAGCCTTTATTGGCCTCCTCTGAGCTGTTCTTCCTCTCTTAAGCCAAGGGTTCCTGACCTGAGCTCTATAAATCCCCAAGTGTCAGTGGATAAATCACATCTTTGCTTTTCTAACCTATAACGTTTCCTTTGATTAAGAAAACAGAAAAACAGGTATCTGTAACACCTGTGCCTTGGTCACTGGTAGAAACCAGAAAGCGCTTCATATCACACTATGACTGGTGTAAATATCTTGAAATAGCATTATGCTTGTTGCCACTTTGAAATTACAATAATCATTACTACATTTCTTATGCAATGAATTTTTAAAGAAGCACCGATATCATTACACCACATTTAAGAAAATTTTGAAAACTACATTTCAGTACAACAAATTTCCTTTGTTTTATTTGCATCCGTAGAAACATTCTGAGAAGAGTTCTTAGGATTTATGAAACCATCCAAAGGGTTCATGCCCCCTACCCCAGACCAAGATTAAGACCCCTGCTTTAGATTCTGGCTGAAGGCCAGCCAAGACATGTGGTTTTTCCACTTATTTATATTCAGCAAACTTTCATTGTGCTCCATTGTTCTCCTTGGTAGGATGCAGATTCTGGGGATACAACAATGAGAAGGATAAGGTCCTTGCCTTCATGGGGCTTATATTCTAGAGTCCCCATCAGCATGGAGGTTGTTAGGGGGTGAGAAGAGAACAGGGAAGAGCTGCCCTTTTCCTCTCCCATTTCAGCTTTGTCCTCCATCTACTCTCCTCTACCGCCCTGCCACTATTCTGTCTTGGCTGTTGTCATCCCTCCTGTTGGAACTAAGTTTCTGCCAGAACCGTGCCTGACACATGGTGAGTGCTCTGTAAGTGTTGGTTACCCCGCTTCAGCCCTCAGACTGCAGCCTCCAATCCATTCTCCACACTGTTTCTGAATTGCACATCTGTTGAGGCTGTGTGCTCTCACCATAAATCTGTCAGTGGTTCCCCTTTGCCTGCAGGATAAAGCCCGGTCTTGGTTTACCAGCCCCACCTTACCTGTCCAGTCACATTTTTAAGATTTTATTTATTTGAGAGAGAGAGAATGAGAGATAGAGAGCACGAGAGGGAAGAGGGTCAGAGGGAGAAGCAGACTCCCCGCCGAGCAGGGAGCCCGATGCGGGACTTGATCCCGGGACTCCAGGATCATGACCTGAGCCGAAGGCAGTCGCTTAACCAACTGAGCCACCCAGGCACCCTGTCCAGTCACATTTTTAGCCACTCCTCTTAAACTTTCCCCCCAGCCCTGTGCAGTTGCCTGGGGCCCCAGGGCATTTCTTGCCCACAGGCCTTTGCCTGAGCTTCAACCACAGCCCAGAATGTTCTTTACTCAACTCTTACTGGTCCTTCAGGTCTTTGCTTGGGGGTCACCTCCTTCAGGAAGCCTTCCTTGAGCCCTCTGGACAGGTTAGGTGCCCTTCTTCTGTACATCCGCAGCTCTTCTATCACTGCACTGCAAGGGGTTGACTTACCTATCTAGAGCTTTCACCGGGAAAACTAGCCCATCAGCTAGTTCTGCCTGGGTAGATGGGGCTAGTCCCATTCTGTAAACAGAGACCACATAGAGCAGTCATTTGTATTCGGAGTCATGGTCAGGTAACTCTGCTTACATTTCCCAAGTTCAGGCTTCCTTGTAATTCATGTTTAGTTCTCTGTACATTAGAAATGGGGAGAGGGCAGAGAAGAATCTTCCACATTTCTAGAAAGTTCCTTCGGTCAGTCAGCTTAGATTACTCAAGTGACTGGTCCTATAATAACCTCAACTAACATATCTTTTGAGCCTTAAAAATGGTAGGCTTTTTTAACCTATAACGTAATAATTATTGTAATTTCAAAGTGGCAATGAGCATACTGCTATTTCAAGATATTTACACCAGTCATAATGTGATATGAAGCACTTCCTGGTTTCTACCAGTGACCAAGGCACGGGTGCTACAGATACTTGTTTTTCCCTGTTTTCTTAATCAAAGGAAATGTGATAGGTTATATTATATCTTTTAATGCTCACACAGCCTTAATGTAAACATCATCATCAACCACAGTCCCATTTTAAAGATGAGGAAATAGAGGACTGGGGAGGTTGAGCAGCTTGTCCAGGGCTGCCCTGGGGTAAGAAGCATGCTCACCATGCATGTCAGGCTGATTCTAGGGCCTGAGTTCCTACCCAGTTCATTGTGCTGCTCATAGTCAGCCTGAAGGTTGGGCATCAGGAGTTCCTTCTTAATGTCAACAAACGGGCACCACAGTCTTTGTAAGTCACGAAGCTGGCAGTCTTATCCTTGACAATTGCCGTTCTCAGCTCTCATGTCCAGTCCATCCCCAGGTCCTGCTGCTATTACCTGCTTCTTTTATCCAGACTTGGGGCGATCCGCTCCTTCTCAGCCCCTGCCACCGTCTCTCACCTTACTCCTGTAGTGGTCTCCTGCCTCCTGTCCCCTCATCTGCCCCAGCCTGGCTCTAACCTCTTCATATTGTAGCCAGAGTGGTTTTTCCAGACAAAAATCTGATCTCCCCACTCCCCCACTCAAACCCTTTAATAGCTTCTCCTTGCTCTTGTAAACGAGACAAAACCCTAACATGACCACAAGGCCCTGGTGAGCTGGCCTTGCCAACTCCAGTAACTTCATCTCACCCTGCTCTCTCCTTTTTTCCTTACCAGGCATGCTGGCTTCTTCCTTGAACATACCATACCCTTGTCCACACTGGGATCCCACACGTCCCCCTGTGCTACTCCTACTAAAATATTTGCTACCTATGTAGAGGGCAGCTTAAATGTCACTTCCATAGGTAGATCCTTCCGCAGGGCAGGCCAGCTTCCCCAGCTGTTCTCTCTCACAGCATCCTGAGCTTTTTGATGACACTTACGACAATTATAGTTATTTGTCCATCGTCTTTCTGTGTGATTGTAAACTTCTTGGTCTTGATTAAGGCTGTCCCTTCTGGTATAGTGCCTTTCACATAAACAGTAAATGATAAATTATTGTTAAATGAATGAGTTAGAGAATGAGTCAGTCAGTTGATAAGCCCCGACCTAGGCCTCTATGTTCTAAAGGTTGATGCTGGGGGCGTGAGGTGTGAGCATTCCAGCTTCCTTCCCTACTGTTGGATCAAGACCAGAGTCCTAAGGGCCAGGAGAGCAGTCATATCCTAGGGGCATTAAGTTTTTGAGGTAAAATGTTCCTTGCTTACATCCTCATTTCCTTTAGGTATAGCCTGAAGTTTTTTCTTCAGTTGTACAAAGTTGCCTAGGTGGACTGTGTTAATTGGAAAGCGAAGAGCAGATGGGAAGGGAGCATCTTTGAGATGAGACTAGGGAAGGGATGAGAAGACTTATCATCATCTTGGTTCTGGCATCTTCCTCAGGCTCAGTGCACTTTGAACTTGGTTCACGTGGCCAACTCCCTACACTTCTCACCTTTACAGTTAATATATCTTTTATGCCCAAGCACAGGCAGAATGTAGTCAAGAACCTATTCTTCAGAACCAAGGGCAGCTGAAGACAGCACATATTGGCAATTTGGTTAGAAGTTGTTTGTGATCGTGTGTAGCTCCTCTGTAATGATGGATCTAACTTCCAAGGCCCATTTGCAGACATGCCAACTCTCCATGTTTGAAGAGTGTCCCATGTTGATTTCCTGGACAAGCCTGGCTCCATGAACACTAGTGTAGTGGGGACCTGCTCTCTCTGTCATACCCTTGAGGGTGCCTGATGCTTATGGGTAGCCTTGTGTCTGGGGCGAGTGCCTGTCCTAGAACTGTGACTGCACAGAAGGTCTGGGAGGAGCTATCAGAGATGTTATGGGGCCATTGTCCAGGGGAACTTTTCCAAGAGTTTCTGCTGATTCATAGTAAGACAAAACATGTTCCTTTTTATTCTTTTCTCACTGTCATATCTCCACCTTGCTAAAACAGGAGGAATCTTTTCTGGGACGGTGAATAACCCCTTATACATGCAAGGGATGATATCGGGTTTGCTTTGGTCACTGTAGGGACTCAGCTTCAGGCTGTTTGCTTGTACTCTCTTAGAACTAGCTGGATAGATTCAGGTATGTCAATGTCAGTAGCAGGCCCATATTTTATATGCATTTTGGACCTAGATGTTAGTGTGGGTTGCAGAAGCCAATGTTGACAGTTCATCTTAGAGGTTTCATCCATGACCATTAGTGATTCTAGAAGCATGTCATTTCCCAGCTCCTAATTGGTTCTTTCATTTTGTTTTCTCTGACTGGTCCTTGCATGAGGTCTGCCTTTCAATCTGGATCCAGATTATTGGACCAGTGATCTGTGTAATCATTACTAATTTCTGGGTAGGACCTGGGAACGTTGTATAGAGAAGCTTGGACTCAGAATCAGATAGACCTAGGAATAAATCCTGGTTCCAACTCTTCATTTATTCAACAAACATTTATTGAGCACCAACGGTGTGCCAGGCACTATTCCTGGGGATACTTTAGTGAACAAAATAGAGTCCTTGCTCTCATGGAGTTTCTATTCTGGGGGGAAGAGACAGATGATAAGCAAACTAGTGTGTAAAATAGATAATACCAGGTAATGTTAAATGCTGTGAAGAATCTGTCCCTGGGCATGCAGATCAGAGAAAGTTCCTTAACATCTCATCTTCATTTGCCACATTTGTAAAATAGAGATTCTGTCCCTACCTCTCAGGGCTGTTGGGATTAAAATGAGATTAAAGCCATGGCAGTACCCAGGAGACACATAGTAGGCACTGATCAGCTTTGCTGATCTTCCTCCTTACACCATCATCCTATGTAGATTTGGTGAGGTTTTTCATTGCAAAGTTAGGACAGGCCCCTGCCTATCAGAACACAGAGGGTGGAACTGGTGTTGCCTCTTGTTTGCACCTATCCTGGATGCTTTTCAGTGGTCATTTCTGGTGCCTCTTCACGGGCTTTTTGCAAGGATACATGTGAAAGCACCTTGAGGCTTCCTAGCACATAGTAGGTGCACAAGAATTTTCAGTGAAATGTCAAACTTTGTAGTGCCTCTTTGGAGAGAGAGAAGAGCAGCAGCTTCAATGGGCACACGTCACATTTCATGGCCAAGCTGGGAGGCTCAGTGAATACCTGCACTAAGCCACCTGCTGTTACTGCTGATTGTTGGCTCAATTCCAATAATCGCGTGCTTCAGAAGAACCCAAACAGGGATTCCAGAGAGTTTGCTTCAACAGAATGAGGGTTTTGAAAAACTCTCTCGCATACGCCTTGACTGTGTACCCCTCCCTGAGCCAGAGGAAGAGAAATAGGAACAGGTACAGCTGCAGGCCTTTACCAGGGGGACCAGACACAGCTGTCGCCAGGGCTGACTGCACTAGGAAAGGGGAATCCAGCCATGATGTTTTCCAGGTGTCAGAACAGGCTGGGTGGTGCCTGGGCTTTTAATTTGGAAGAGGGGAGAACATGGCTGGAGTGTCTTCTTGTTTCGGCTCCCGGAAGTAAAACGTGTGTTGACCTCTCTGACCTGGGGTTCCACCTCCTGTTTACAGGCTGTGCACACAGGGATGCGAGCACTCATCTATAATAGCTCCACGGGGGGCTCTCAGGCCGAGCAGTCAGGCATGAGGACCTACTACTTCAGTGCCGACACCCAGGAGGACATGAACGCATGGGTCCGGGCCATGAACCAGGCTGCACAGGTGCTGTCTCGATCATCGCTAAAGAGGTCAGTCCTAATGGAAGGTCCCTGTCAGAGAACTTCCCACACTAGGATGGGGATCCAGATAAGAACACTTGGGTGCCCCAAATTCCACTTTCATTCACTCGTATAGAAGCACTGCCTTTTCTTTGAGGTCCTGTTTAACAATGAATTCTTCTGGGAAGAGAATGCATACATAGTAAGGTCCCCCAGAAGTTATCTGGTCCTCTTCATTGGGCAGAGAAATGCAAAGACCTGGCAGGGTGAAGTGATTGCCTGGGATATGGGGCCTTGGAACCTGGTGTATTTTTCATTTGTCCTTCTCTGATGTGTTGTGGGAGAGACAGCCTGGGGGGCGCCAGACTGGGGAAGAGGGAGAGACAGATGAGAAAGATCTTACAAACTGAAAATGTGCCTCAAGACTGCCCACCATGTTGCTGGGGCTAGCTAGGGAGCTATTGTCCAGCCACACCTTCCCTCAAGTGGGCAAACCAAGGGTACAATCAAGGATCTTGAAATTCTTGAGTTTGTTGGCTGTGGGTAATTCCTTGAGAGAAAGTGCAGGAGGATGATGAGTGGAGTCAGGGGCTCAGAGAGGGTAAGGGAGCCCTGGAAAAGTCATGGTGTGCTTTTAGCCAGTCCTCCTGTGACATGGGCCCATTTTTCACTATCTGGACATCTCACTGTGTTTAGAGGCCTCTTTGACTATGGTCTTTCAGTGAGGCCTCAAAACAAAAGGTTATTCTCCAGCAACCTAAAGGCAGGATTTTTCAGCGACTATAAATGGATTTCATTTGGTGTGTTTTAGCTTGTCAACCTTTCCCCCCCAAAAATCCTTCTTTATTAGTGGATCAACTTTATTTTGGATTGTTGTATATGGTATTTTATAGGACCATAACACTCCAAACCTTGGATGGTTTATTTTTTCTCAACTTTACCATTATAAATAGTCCTGTAATGAAAAACCTTCTATAGGCCTCTGCATGTGTGTCTTTCAAACTGCTGGGTCAAAATACAATGCATTTTTTATTTTAATCAGTATACCAAATTGCCCTTTAAACAAAGCTGTATAGTCCCCTGGTGAGAGTGCTCATCTTCCCACATCTTTGCCAGTAGTTGATATTACCAAGCTTTTAAATTTTTTGTTGAGGGCGCCTGGGTGGCTCAGTTGGTTAAGCGACTGCCTTCGGCTCAGGTCATGATCCTGGAGTCCCTGGATCGAGTCCCGCATCGGGCTCCCTGCTCGACAGGGAGTCTGCTTCTCCCTTGACCCTCCCCCCTCTCATGTGCTCTCTCTCTCGTTTTCTCTCTCTCTCTCTCAAATAAATAAATAAAATCTTAAAAAATTTTTTGTTGTTGAGCTGCTGTGTAGATAAATAGTCTGGTTATTTCAGTGTGTATCTGTGTGATGGTGGAAATCTTTTCTCTTTATTGGCTACTTACATCTCCCCTCCAGTGAACTGCCTGTACCTATCCTCTACCCATTTTTCTACTGAGTTGTATGCCTTTTCTTGGTTGCTTTCTTTCCTGTATGCTGTGAAATCTGGCCAGTTTAGGATGCAGCTTAGCCTCTTGGTTGATGGTAGGCTGTCCAGTCTTATGGTGAATGGAATCTGATTTTCCCTTCCTTTGAAAATCAGGATGCTGTTTGTCAGCCTCTAATATCCTGCCCATTTTCCCATTCTCTCTGATTCCTCAGAGGTCACCTGAGAGGTTTCTTGAGCCTGTCTCCGAGTTCCCTTCGGGCCCTGGGGTGCTGACGCCTGGGGCCTTCCCCGTCTCCCTCCCTGTCTCGCACTTTCAGTCTCTCCTAACTAAGGTGGTTTTCCTTTTCATGGAGAAGGTCACGCTTCTTGATGAAGATACGGAACTAAATCCAGAAGGTAAAGCGTTCAGCTTTATTTATGCGCATCATCTTCCCCAAGCAGAGTTACTTGTATCTCATATTCTTTTGAAGCTTTCCCCGCCTTCATTTTAATTCTTAGAGGAATAGAAAGTTTGTTTTTGTTTTGCTTTGCTTTAAGTAAACCAAGCTCAGTTCCTTCTAGACTTTGCCCTTTTTGCCATCATTCCTGTGGGCCTATCCCGCTGTGCATCTTTCTTGATTTTGTGCCTCACCTTCCATTTTTGTGCATGTCCTTTTCTAACTTGAGCTCTGAGAGCTGCCTGTGTTATAATACTGGCTTCTCTAGGCCAGCAATGGCAAGTGGGTTCCTTCTTGTGTTCCACTTCTGCTCAGTTCATCATGGCTAACTGGGGCACTGGGTCAAAGGTAGCCTGAGAATGAAATCAGGCTGAACAGGAAGAAGTATTGGGTTTGAAAAGTGATGCCAGTCTCGAACCATTCAAGATTAATTTGATAGCTGATATTTGGCTATTTTTTTTTTTTTTTAACTTTTGCCTACCTGAAAATTTTGCAATTAACTATCCCCAGATTCTGTTTTGGAGAGGCTCCATCCCTTATCTGTTGGGCTGCCTTCCTTCCTCTTTTAGGGTCTCAGGCTGTTCCTAGATTTTCTCTGACCTTTTAAAATTTGTTATTATGCCCTTAATAAATTATTAAAATCCCATAATCATGCTTGCCCAAGGTTCCTTCCTTAAAAAAAAACAACAACAAAAAACCCAACTTGTTTTACCTTCTGAGTCTGAATAAAGGCAGAATAGAATTTTCCTTTAGCTTTCTGAGAGATGAAATAGCGAAGCAAATCCAGACTTATTAAATGTTCTGTTTTCCCAGAATAAGATGTTCAGACATTTGGTTAGTTAGAATTATTCATTAGGCAGTACTAAATCTTCTCTCTCCTCCAGTTTGGTGATCTGCATTGGAAACCCTCCATCTGTGTTAGGTGGGGGCCCCCAGTGGTCATGTATCAGTCTCTGCCCAACTTGATTCTCACCAGATGCTTCTGTTCTTATTCATATGGGCAGATGCTTTATGTATGTGGTATCTATAGTAGGACTCCTGATTGAGGTAGCAGAAGATGCAGATGAATTTATCTTTTCTTTTTTTTTTTTTTAAAGATTTCATTCACTTATTAGCAAGTGAGAGTGCATAAGCGTGGGGAGGGAGCAGATGGAGAGGGAGAAGCAGACTCCCCGCTGAGCAGGGAGCCCGATGCCAGGCTTGATCCCGGGACTCCAGGATCATGACCTGAGCCAAAGGCGGATGGCTTAACTGACTAATCCACCCAGGTGCCCCCAAATTTATCTTAAAAAGGGAGGAATTCATTGTTTGCCTTCACTAAAAAGTTGAGGATAGGTCTAGCTTTAGAAACAGGTGGGCGCAAGGCTCAGACAGTATTGTAAGTCATTGTCTCAGGCTCTAGGCTCTGGCCATTTCTGGTTTGGATTCATTCTTCAACTCCATGTGGAGGTCCCTCGCAGATCCTGGTGGCAAGGTAGCTGCGGTAGCCCTGGACTCCTGTCATCTGGGGGGCTGGGGGGCAAGTCCAGAAGGAAAGAGCCAGAGTCTTGTCCAGAGCCATTCTGATTAGACAGGCTTAGATCACATTTAAACCCTAAACGATGTACTGTGGCCAGGGAATGCACATGCTGATTGGCACAAGCCCAGGATACATGCTTCACTTCTGAGAACCAGACCACAGGGACTGAGGGTGAGGTAGGGGTGAATGCCCACATCAATGCCGGGGCTGTGGGCAGAGGAAGGAAAAATGACTCATTGGGATGGGATAAAGGAGGCACAGACAAATTAACATCCAGGCTGATTCACCCCTCACTTTCTTCAGTATTGGTTTCTTTTACCTTTCGTTTTCTACCCAAAGCTTAGTGTTTGAAGTCAGGTAGATGTGGGTTCAAATCCCAGCTCTACTACTTTCTAGCTGAGTCACTTGTACAGATTAGGTATGCTTTTTAAACCTCAGTTTTTCTTAGTCCATAGAGCTATTACAAGTATTAAGTTAAATACTTAAGTTTTTTAATACTTAATACTTTAATACTTAATACTATTACAAGTATTAAGTTAAATACGCCCTGGTGGCTCAGTCGGTTTAGTGGCTGCCTTCGGCTCCGGTCATGATCCCAGGGTCCTGGGGTCAAGCCCCACATCAGGCTCCCTGCTCAGTGGGGAGTCTGCTTCTCCCTCTGCCCCTGCTCATGCTCTCTCTCTCTCTCAAATAAATAGTATCTTTTAAAAAAAATAAATGTATAAAGTGCTTACTTAATAGGATACCAAAGATACTTTATATCAGATATGCTACCTTCCATAGGGTTTGGTTTAACAATGTCATGGGCTCTTCCAGTTTCATCATTCATCCTCTGGATCACATTGATGCGGAGTCTTCTAGGAACAAATTGTACTCTCTCCCTTATCAGGATGTACTTATCCCCTAGCAGCTGTGGAGTTGTGGTTCTGTTCTGCCCAGGCTCCTGCAGCACCATCTCTCCACCTGCCCCTCCCCTCCTTCCTCTTCCAGTCTCTTCCCACATCATTCCTCTGACCCAGGAGCAGAGCTGAGCACCCTTGCTGAAACTCCTGACTTTATCCCATTGTTTCCTACATAGGCTTCAGAATCTCCTGATAGAAGTTCATTCACATATTCTTAAGGTCCAACCCCACGCACTGGAAGGGGTGCTATGCAGTGCTGCCAAAGCCTGCTCACTAACTCCTTCTATGCATAATTTCTTCCCCCCATTTCCGTGTTCTTCCACTTGCCGGACATTGGACTCTGTCCTCCCCACTCCCCTGCATTGGACTGTGTTTTATCTCTTGTCTAAGGATATCTTGTCCTTTCCAACAAGTTAAAGCACTAAGCAAGGAGGTCAGCTTGCCTTGACAGGTCACAAAACTGGCAAGCAGCTCAGATAGGAAGGCCTGTCAGAAGACCTCTCTTTTCTGTTTCCAAATCTCTCTCGTTTCTGTGTAACTGTAGTCCTGTCTTTGGACTGAAGGATCTTATAGTCTAATCACCTTTGGAGTAAAAATCAATTTCCTCAGGGATTTTGAGCACTGCATGGGTGTGGCCCCTATGACGCCTTTGGCTCATGTCTTGCTATTCCCCGTTCTCTAT